GCACTGGACTTGGGGGTAAAGACCATGATCTCGGGGCCAGCCAGGTCAGTTGGCAGAGAGAACATAGTTCACACAGACAGTGTTCTGCATCCTTTGTGAGAAGAAACTGGGTTCTTAAAAACTCCCGAGCGGTCATCTAAGAAGCAACTGTTGGTTTCTTCACGCCCAGCAGAAAGAAGAGTGAAGAAAATCAGACACAGGAAACAATTTGCCCAAGGTCTAATGAACTATAGGAACCTCGGCTTCCACGACCCTGAGAACAGAAGTACTAGATGTTCTCAGCTACCACTCCCAACCGCTCTAATTGGGACCACAGAAATTCCTGGACAGAATGCGAGAAAAACATAGGCCAGACTCTTTGGTCTCTGGATACTGACTGTGGCCATTAGAAGGCCTTCAAACCTGGTCCTAAACATACCCGTGGGGATCACCTATCACCGCCCTATAAAGTGAACACCCATGAGGAATGTGCTCCTCAGAATAACCAACCTGACAAGACCAAAAGGGCAGCAGTTGTCCAAAAACAAAGCTCAGAAGACAAGAAGGAGTAGGGAAGAAGGACACGTGGATGCGGGGAACTCAAGGAGGAAGCGGGTGCCATTAAATTGAGGGAATCTCAACTGTTGTCACAAAACAAAATATGTATAGATTGTTAAATAGGAAACTAATTTGCTATGTAAACTTCGACCCAAAACCACAATTTTAAAAAATAATAATAAGTGAGAAGCCTTACACTCCCAGCTTGCCCAGGTCCCACGGGACACTGGGACTCATCTCACTCTCTCGCCCGCGGTGCGTTAAAATACACCGTCAAAGACATGGGTGTTTCACCCAGTACAGGATGTGCTGCCGGCCTCATTTTCACAACAAGGTTCTTAGTAAGAGTTTCATAGTGTAGTTAGGAAAACTATCTCAAGATCTTAGCCCTAGCCTGTATCCATGTAAAATTACTAAATACCTAGTTACCTGAGGGCTGAGGCTGACTGGTATGCAGCTAGTCTTGAAAGAGTTGGTTTGGTTGCCAGGCTCCAGCGGGCAGTATTTCAGTGGGATGTGGACACTCTGAACCTCCACTCAGAAGCTGATTAAAGTCCACTGTGTGAATCCGAGTGCCACATCATTCCTCTGAAGGTCAAAAAGGATGTCTGCATAATTCTGCTGACTTTCTCTTTGCGCTTGGGTAATTGAGACCAAGGCGGCCATTTGTAGACTTCCTATTTGCTGGTCTACCAGGGCGGGTTTCCCCCTCTCTGCATTAGATTCGCTGAGTAAGCTTGGTGGTGAGTGTCAGGGGGGCAGGGGAAAGGCACTTTCTTAAAAGGCAGAACGCTGTGTTTGAACATCAATCCTAGAACTCTTATCTTTACAGAAACAAACCAAAAACCCAGCAGCCTGGACCCAGCTAGAAGGAGGATGGGGTTCTGTCATGGGACTGTTTTTGGCCCTGTGTCTGCCAGAAAGTGGCAGTAGCCCACTCAGCTCAGTGGTGTCCCCAGGGGACGCTGCGTCCTCTGTGCGTCTTCAGCCTGGGATGCAGCAGGCCGAGGAACATCCCAGAGGACTTTGTGATTTCTACCATCACTTTCGAGTGGCTACAGAGATGAGGGTAGGCTGCCTCCTGAGAACAGGCTGTCCCCTAACCACCCTGGAGACAGAGCCTTGGAGGCACCTCTATAGACCAGGCTGGCAGCCATCAGGGATAACGGGCAGTTTGACCGAGTGACCCTTTCCAGGAGCCCAGCCTTACCTGCTCATTGGCGATTGGTGACAGTAGGGACCCGGGTTGCTCCTGTCCTGGATCTTGCCCCCCTGCCCTTGTGACACTGTCCCGGTCTTTCCCACAGAGGTGGCAGGGCTCTGGAATGGGAGAACTGGCTTTGGAATTTCCCATAATCCTGTGTTGCTGTTCTGATCTCCTGTGTGATCAATTTCACTTGGTTTATTTTGTCTGTAAGACTTTGGGTTGTATTCCCCCCTAGCCCCTTAAATTTTTTAATGTATACAACCCTCTATTTCTACGATCTTTCTTACAAAGTTGAGGCAGTGAGACTCATTCCTCTCCTGGATACGGGTTCCTGTGCTTTCTTTCAATGTGGGGTTTTTAGAGGCACAGGCTTTTCTAAACGACTACGCTGTCCTGGTTTTTTTAAAATCTGTCAGCATGTTTGGAGAAATGTGAGTCTGTTACACGGTTAATGGTGTTTTCACCTATCCCAGGAAAACATCTGTCACAGTGTCTGACGGTTTCAGTGCAGAGGCAGTGGGAGTCAGGGTGGCCCTCAAGCCGAAGGGGCCGGAAGCTGATGGAAGACCACGGACCTTCTCTCACTGTGCGAAGGGCCGCGTCAGTGCTAAAGCTCTCCTGCCCACTGCTGCCCTGTCCCTGACGTGCCACCTTCACACAGGGTGAGGTGTCATCTCACCAACCTGTCTGATGAGCTCTGAGCCTCCTGGTAGGCTGTTGGATGAACCTTCTTCTATATCGTCTGCTCACATTTGAGAACTTGAGATGATAGCGTAAGTGTTTCCCAGCCCGTCAGTCCACCCGAGTATCTGGGAAGAGGCGCGACATGCCATGTGTGGGGTCTCTTAGTTTTAGTGCCACACAATTCTGTGGCTTGTGTTTTTTAAATAAAGGAGAGATGGCAGGGAAAGGACACGGCATGGCACCTTTGCTGCTGTAGCCTTGGCAGATGCAGATGCTGGTCAAGGCTGGGATCTTGGCTTTGACGAAAGCACACTGTTTGAAGATGTCAGGTGCCCATCTGTTTAGGAGCTACTGTCAGTATATAGGTGGTTAATTTTACAAATGACCGAACTGATACATTGAGTTTTGGATGATCTTACAGTAACTAACAGCAGGGAATTTGGGAAAGTGGAGCTGCTGCTTTGGACGTTGGCATACCAAGACAGGAAGCAAAGTGACAAGCTAGATGCGGGCCGGGGGCTGCTAGAAAGTACATGGTCATGTTTTTCCTTGGCTTTGTCCCTCGGTGTGTCCTACTAGGGCCACCAGCATCTTGTCCATGCCAACCTGTCTCCCTCCCAAGCCTTGTCCCTGGTAGGGTAGCCCAGGTGACGTCCCTCCACCCTCTCCTCAGCAGGGGAGGGAGCCCTGCCCGATTCTCAGCTGCTAGAACAGGGGGAGCCCCACCAAATTCGGGGCAGCCCGTTGTACCAGAATGCAATCCGAGCTGCTAGATGGTGCCATTTCCATCCAGGTTAGAGCTTTGTGACATGTTTTTGTCCTTCTTGATGAAATCTCGTTTTAGTGAGCATCTCCTGACACAGAGGTGTAAATGTTGCCTTGTGCCTTTCTCCACAACCTGCAGGTGCATTTTCCCAACTTGGAGCCTTATCACATTTGGGTCAGAAATGGGGGACAGTGGTGGATGATGGGGTTGTGGTCCACTGGGCTGCATTCCTTGGCAGTGTTTGGGCCAGTTTCTCACCAGGTGAAACCCTGGCTTCTTGAACAGAAGTGGTCATTAAAAAACAGCTTGTCCTTCTTTTCTACATAGAGTAGGCAGGATTCAGAGCTGGTGGTCACTGTCCTTGTACCCTGGCCTCATTGCCAGGGCAGTCCACTTCCTGGAAACGGCATTAGGCTCACTTTCCTTCCTCACAATAAATCTTCAGTATTTATTTTCAGTTTGACTGACCTCTGTCCAGTGGATGATTCCTGAAAGATGTTGGATTGAGAGATGTGTGAGAGAAAACAACACTCCTGAGGTTTCGTGGCCACAGGTGTTTGTGCTCTCTCCCTTGTACCCTGTCTGTGCACTGTCCTGATGACCAGGTTTTGCTTGTTGTGGGGACCTTTTGGTCATCTGTGGTCATGCTGCCCCGGAATGGTGCACACTTTCCACGATACCTGACAGTTCTTTTGCGGCGTTTCCTTCTCTGAGTAATTGCCGTTCTTCGTGTGACCCCGTCTGAATTCCTTTTGGACTCGGGAAGCTTAGCCATCACTGATGCAAGATGGCTGCCAATGTGTTTCTTCCTCTCAGACATATTTAAAGGGAGACGGGTCAGAGATAGCAGCCCCCAGTCTGGTCCCTGCCAGTTTTGCTTCATGATGTTAGCGTTTGTCATACTCGTCTTTTCTGTGGTGTCATTTGGTAATAATGATAAAGCCCAGGTTGCACACGGGGTTGGTTTCTTTTTCCCCCCCTCCTCTGGCTTCGTGAAAGCATCTGTTTTATAAGGTGGTGAAGAATGCATTTGGATCTTGGTACGTTAATCATTTGAATTTGTGACGACAGTCATCTCCAGGGCAGACTGACCCTCGGCAGAGCCTTGGGCCACAGTGTGGCCCTGTCTCAGGGCACCTCAGTGTCTGGAACCCTGTGTACCACTTGTCCTTGTCATCCACCCTCCTGTTCCCATTTCATTCCTTCTTCCCTGTGTGCAGTGGATTATCGTTGAATCAGGGTGGATTAGGACGGAATGACATTGCCTGTTTGTTTTCCTTCTCCTGCTGTCACCGTCCAGCCATCTGAGATCAGGATGTGGGGGTAGGGCCTCATCCTGAAAGTACCTGGTGAGCAAGGGGGTGCTGAAGCTGGAGCTTCACAGGGGAAACACTCCCCAGTCGCAAGTCGGGAGTCCTGGATGGAGCAGGCAGCAGGCGGTTTCATCAGCCTAACACGTCACATGGAAACAAAAGCTTGAGAGGTTTTATTTAGCCCCTAATCCGCACGCTGAGAGCGCCGAGGCCCATGTGAGCCAACCAGGCATGTGCAGTTCCCCGTTCTGGGCCTGAGCCGCAAAGAAAAACCCTTCCCGGCCCCCGTTGGGGGCGAGCCAAAGCTCCTGAGTGCTGCGTCGTGTCCACTCAGGTTTCCAGGATTAATAATTTAGACCCTCCTTTGAAATCAGACCTCAGCTGGTGGTTCTGCTGTCCCGGGAGGGTTGGGGTGCAGCGGCTTTGTTTGGGATGTATGTAATTGAAGATTGAGAAAGACTTCCTCCAGCCGCCTCTCACTCATCTCTCTCCAATGCCGGTCGTAAGCAGACCTGTCAATATTGGCCGTTCTCAGAGCTGGGATGCTGCCAGGTGGTACGAGGGCCCCTGGGAGAATACCGAGGAGCTGAGGCCGCTGGGGAGGAGAGGCTCGGCGGTCTACGGAGCAGAGGGAGTGTGGGATGAGCAGCCGGAGCACAGAGTGAAGGGTGACACAGCCCTGCCCCGCGAGCCCTACCTCTACCGGGAGGCCTTCTGCAACACGCTTGCAGGACGGAAGGGCTCCGTCCCCGACTTCACCTTTTACGACAGCAGGCAGGCAGTCATGTCTGCCCGTGCTTCCCTGCCGCCTCAGGACTACTTCAGCGACCCTTCTGTTGCAGCCAGGGTGCCTAAAGAGCCGCATTACTTCCGCGACCCTGGAATGAGCCAACCGGTGAGCAGTTATGGGGTGCTGGGCAACAGAGTGGTGTGGGATCAAGTGCCAGGCCGGTTCCCAGGCCTGCAGGACACTGATCACTCGTATCAGGATCCTGGAGGTAAAATGATTCTTCCGGGCCCATGGGCACAGAGCAGGACCCCGTCTTCCGGGCAGTTTGGAGCAGAGCTGCCCGATGCCAGATACGGGCCAGCAGGAGGTGCCTATCCTGCCAACCAGGTCTGCAATGATGTCAGTGAGAGGCCAGCGGATTCGGCCACTGCCAGGCAGACAGCCCCGACGTGCCTGGTGGTTGATGCCGCTGTGGCCCCTGCTTCTGATGGCGGCCCCAGGGCAGCCCCAGGAGTTCTGAATCGCAGCTATGGTCCCTCCCGAGAGAGTGTCCACCCCAGGATGGCTTACCACAATTACGAAGCCGTCCTGCCCACGGTCCAGGGACCCAGTGGCAAAAGGAGTGTGCTACCCGAGTTCCTGGCACTGCTGCGGGCTGAAGGCGTGACTGAGGGCACCCTCACGGCCCTGCTGCAGCAAGGCTTCGACTGCCCGGCCGTCCTGGCCACCATGGAGGATGCGGACATCAAGGCTGTTGCCCCCAACCTGGGCCAGGCACGAGTCCTGAGCCGTTTGGCCAGCAGCTGCCGGGCTGAATCACAGCTGTGGAGGCAGGAACGGGCCGGCCCCCTGCCCCGAGCACGCGCCAGCAGCTTCAGCCACCGCACTGAGCTGCACCATGGCAACCCCACTGCACTGGGCCCCGGAACCCTGCAGCCCCAGCCTCCAGGGCCCCTGCACACAGCCTCTGCCCGAGTTGGAGACCTGGCCCGCCGCCCCTCAAGCGCACCATCCCAGCACCTCCTTGAGACAGCGGCTACCTACTCGGCCCCTGGGGTGGCCATCCAAGCACCTTATTTGCACCCCAACTCTGGGTACAGTTCTCCCACCCCTTGTGGCCTCTTGGCTCGGCTGGGCCCCACGTATCCCCCACAGGCTGGGCTTGCCTTGACTAACCCAGGCCCCACAAGCCCCCTTCAGCCAGGCCCCAGGACAGCCTACTCCACGGCTTATACCGTGCCCATGGAGCTGCTGAAACGGGAGCGCACTGTGGCCGCGTCGCCCCTGCCCAGCCCCCACGGCAGCCCCCAGCTCCTGCGGAAGCCCAGTGTCCCCATGGAACCACCCTCACTGCCACCAGCCAGCCAGAGCCTGCACACGCCACACGCACCCTACCAGAAGGTGGCCCGGCGGACGGGCGCTCCGATTATTGTGTCCACCATGCTGGCGCCAGAACCAAGTAACGCATTCCACCCCCTTCCTCTCATTGGGGGGGAAGTGGGCACCGTCAGGGGTGGAGGCACGAGGCTATGAGCGTCTGAGAGCTTTGCTGTAACTGAGAAGGTGGCCCTCCAATGTGTGTGGTCTATACCTAGAAAGCCAGAGACACTCCACACATATTATACATACAACACAACACACCTTACATATATCCCTACACTGTGCACATATAACGTACCATACATACAGCACAACCCCCCAACACATAACATACCACAACAGTAACTATAACCCGTACATGTTATATACACAATACCCACCACAGACATGTTTACACAAATCTCCTAACATGTAACATACCACAGCAGTCACTACCCACAACATAAACACGGCATAAAACACCATATACAGGTTAACACACAAACTCTCTAACACATACCATACCACAGTAAACACGTCATGTGTGTGTACACACCACACACAGACCCTGCCCTACCAACACAGGTTGCCACAGCCAGCATCCATCGAGCAGATGGGTGGATTCTCTTGGGGTGAAGAGTGTGTGTTCCTTCAGAACTGACCCCGGGAGCCCCGCCCTGATGAGCATGGGCTGACCTGAGTCTTCCCCACCAAGCGGTGATGCACGCTGTTTCTGGGGCAAACTGGCATCAGTCAGGACAGATGGAAACCTTCCGCCCAGGAGGGCAGTGTTTCCTGTCCTTGTCATTCCTGGCGCAGCTCTGGAAAAGGCAGGACTAGGTAGCGGATGTCTCCTGTGTGTTGTGTGTGCGGGTGTGTCATTAGAAAACGCCATGATTGGCCAGCACCGAGGAGAACGTGTGCTTCCACACTTGTGTCTAAACAGAGAATGGTCTTGACAGCCTTTATCACCCCATGTTTCAAACTCCGAATCAGCCTCATTGGGAAACACTCTTGGGATTCTGCTTGGTTGTAGGGACAACACACATTTCCAAGTGGAGACAAGATGCTAGGTGGTTTCCTTGAAAGCCTGGCTGTGTGTGTTTTCCATGGACGTTGTGGGGAAATTCCTAGGCAGACAGCCTCTGAGCAACGTGTTTTATTTTTATTTTAGCTCTAGAATGTTTACGGAAAATTTAAAATGTAAGTCCAATTTTTTCCTTTCGAGCAAACTTCCTTTCTTCCCTCACCTCTCAAACATAATTTAGAAATCTAAATCTTTTGTGGGTTTTGCTTTTGTTTTCTGAGTGACCAACAGCTGAATGCATGGCAAAGGAGGGTGGGGTAAAAGTCGCGGTTGAAAAGACCCCTGAGCTGTGCTATTTACAATGCCCATGCAGCCGTGCTGGGCAGGGCATTGGGAGGAGGCTGCTGCCACTTAAGTTTGGCTGGGATGATGGCGGGACAATGCTGCCTTCTCACCAACTGAAACGTCAGTTGTGTCTTGCTGAACTTGACCTCTGTGTGCGTTTCTGAAGGGAAAGAGGTGCTGACTGGATTTGTGGACCATCTCTGTGGAAGTTCTGGTTTTGTCTTACGTATGGATTTCTTTGAAGTCTGATCTTAATGTGTATCAGATAATGTTTCAAATCTGTGTGCGACAGGAGGGAAATACCGTTTTTCTGAGGGCCTTGACTTCTCCCTCCCAAGCCACACACTCTTTATGGGCAAGCACCTCATTTGCATGGCGATGACATTTGTTGCTCCAGTAATTTCATCTGATAATGACCGGGCTTGCAAAGCGGATCTGAACACATATTCCTTAATTACGTGTTGCTAAGCAACCAGAGGGTTTGGTCATGATCACAGAAAGATTATCTCCTCGTTGAAGTGGGAAGGTTTCGTAGGAGGAGGGCCTAGAAAGCTGTCACGTTTCCCCCTTTCATTTATTGTATTTATTTTACACCCCCTGTAACAAAGACACGACTGTTCTTTGAGTGTGAGGTGAGGCAGGTTCTTTAAGCAGTTTGGACTCTGGTTGTTACTGTTTTGTCGACCAGCGGATATTGAGTTTTATTTCCTGTGAGGCCATGAGCCGGTGCCAAGGACGTCTGTGGAGTCGGAAGCCTGCCAGCAGATCCATTTCTTCATCAAATAATTGGTCCTGGAGCAGTCGTTTCCATCTTTGGGCATAATCGTACAATCTGTGTCATAGCACGGGGGGTGCTAGGCTCTGCAAATGGCATTTGGAAGGCCAGTTCCCTGGAACCACGGGGATCTGTTGGAAGCAGCAGGAAAACTAACTAGATGGTGTCTCTATGGTGATGCTCCGGAATCTTCCCCGTTGCTCCCACACACCCTAGAGGCCTTGCCAGGCCCGAGTCATTTTCCCCCAAGAAGGTGATGTTACCTTTCACGAAACACCACAGTGTGGACGGTGCTCCCGCACACCCCTGGGACAGCCAGGCGGTGGCAGGCTCCATATGCGGCCACATCTGACTGACATGAGTGGCACGGGCAGCGTGTAGGATCTTGGTTTGGCTCATGCCTCCTCAGTGTCCCTGCCTGACGGCGACAGGCAGGGACCCAGGATGCTGCCTCGGGAGAGGTGGTGGAGCGGGTCTGCGGTGTGTTCTTCCTGCATTTTCATTCTAAGTTTCTGGCTGTATTTTTGCACGGTTTATACGTTTCCCCCGTGTCGGCCCTTCTTCGTCCATAAGCTGTCTGCTCTGTCTTGGTTGCTTTTGATAGTCTCAGTTATGGATTCCTAGCTGTGACTCCGTTCTGTTGGCCAAGAAATGGTGAGTGACAGGCAGGTTTCCACAGAGACCCTGGAGCAGTGCGCCCCCCTCGGGGCAGTCTGATCACAGCTGCAGGTCAGCTACACGTCAACGCCACACGTGAGAAGTCTGATGTCCCTCACAGGCTGGCCTGGCACGTGGCAGTGCGTGCTCAGAGCCTTCCAGCTGTGGCTGTGACCAGGGCCCCCGTCCCATGTCACGTCGTCAGCCACTGCTTAAGGTCCCCTGCTGCCAAGCTTCCTTTAACAGACCAGCAGGAGCATTGAGTAGTCAGCGGGCCGTGGCCATTTTCATAATGTTTGTCCTCCCAAATACTGCAGAGGGTGCAGCTGGGTAGACCAGCGTTTGGAGTTGCCGACAAGACCTGCAGCGCACCCTTTTCCTGGCCCTTTTTCCTTGATGCACCTGTATTAAGTTCACTCGTGACACCCCCTCCTGGTCGCCACAGTCATAGCACAAGGACTCTTCAGAAGGACTGGAAGGGGCTGTCCCAAAGCTGACAGACAGCCACGTTGCTCACTGTCACCAGCACAGCCGAGACTGTGGTCCTGGTGTCCAGCATCAGTGGTTCGTGCACACCAGGTCCCCTGGGTAGAAAGTTCCGGTGGGAATTGTAGTTCTGTCAGAATCTGGAGAGAGGTCCCGTCTGCACGTGGGGGACATCTGTGCGTTGTAGGAGCCACTGCAATAGTGGCCATGACAGGAGAGAAGCCAGCCTGCTGCGCACCAGTTTCCCACCCCCACAATAGAGTTGCCCCAGAAGGAGGCACAGGGACTCTGAGAGTTGCTGTCCAGTGAGGACGAAGGGAGGTGACATCCCTGGAGGTGTGATGGAGACACAGCTCAGCCAGGGTTAGCAGAACAAATGCTTTGTGGCCACAAGTGCTGGTCAGTGCCTCCTTGTGACATCTCCCTGGGGAGGTTTTCTTGCACAGTAGCCTATCCCCCCATAGTCAAGAAACCCTTCCTCAGGGAGAAGGGGCCCCTTCTTCCCAGAGTGGACACTGCCTGGGCCACACCACCTGGACTCATCTTCCGGTCCCTGTCCAGGGCCACAATGCCAGGCCAACTCAGGTGGGGCTGTAACAGCCAAAACACCATAACGTGTCCACCATGAGGACAGCTGTTGACCTTCCTTGTCCAGTGCTTGTCGCATAGGCTGGCCTCCATCCACATGTGGGGTCAGAGAGTAACTCTGGTTGGGGGCCCCTTGCAGCCTCCTGCTCTGGCTTTTGAAGCCCTGATGTGGCCATCCTCAACCTGTTGGGGACTGCACACTTCCCACCCCCCGTGGGAACTCACCATATTGGTCTTGTTCCTCTGGGCCATGGTGTCATCTGAGCTTCTGTGGTTTCCTGGGAAGGCTCCTGGAGACCCCAGGACTACAGCCTTGCCCCATGCTCTGCAGGCACTGCTGAATGCATGGTAATGGAGTGTACAGCCTGTTGTGTGTCTTTCGGCAAGTGTATTGGGTACTCTGTGCTTTTCTTTCCATGTCTGCCTGAGAGGACTAGGAATGAAACCTGCGTCAGGCTTATTGGGAGAGCAGAGGAGAAGAAACTACAGGTGGGTGGACATTGTTGACCTTCTAGCTGCTTGGAAACTGGTGGCCTTGTTACTGTTGTCATATCTTGGTTGCTCCCCAGGCTGGGAGGCTGAGCACTGTGCTGCTGGTATGCTTGGGGCTGGTGGTTGGGGATGGCCAGCCCTGCAGGCTTGAGTGTTCTCCTGTGACCATTGGGAGACCCCAAGTGTTCTGTCCATGCAAGGAAGTGCTGGTGTGAGTGTGGAACTCAGCACAGCTAGGCGGTGGCCAGGCCACCTGGAGAGGGCTGTCATGTCCTCAGTGGGCATGAGGACCACTGCCAACCTGAGTCATGTTAAAAGTTTAATGGGCTTTTCACAAAGCAGGGTGTCCGGGAATTTTTATAAACTCCACTCACAAAGAACGGACACCTGTTCTGAGTGCGGACTCCTCAGTGACCTTCCATGCCTGTGGGCTCCAGCCGACTGGGTCTGAGCCCAGCAGCACCCACCCCCACCCCCAATGGCTTCATCTCTGGGTTGGTGGGCTAATTCAGGGATGCCAAGGGTCGAGAGGTCACCTTAAATTCCCTACCATCACAGTGCATGACTTGGAGAAGGCAGTTACTAACAGTCAGTCCTCACTGGGCCCTCCTGCGGTTGATTTAACAGGACCAATCTGTGTTTTCCCAGGAGGTGTCAGCCGACACTGCTCTGGGACACCAGCCAGCTTGGCCCACGTCTGAGCCACCAGACCCTTTCTAATGTGTCCTGA